GTGTGCATCAGTTTGACAGATCTGACTTATTTATGTGCTGACTGTTGGTTCCTTGCCTCTCAGGCAGATGCACTTTGACAGAAGCTCCCAATTAGTAGACTCTTACGAAATGCTTTTGTGTAGGCAGTGGGTCTATTCTTGTTTTTTCCTATAATAGGGCCCCGGAATGTGCAGAGTTCCAATACTGATAGTACCGGTCAGAATCTTGTTATATGTCCGTCTTGCCTTTCCTCCGAGTGTTGTGAGCCGACCAGACCCTCTGGTTATACCCATGTGCCTCATTCTCTCGAGGCCATAATAATCTTGTTTCACTACTGATTCTGTTGCTTGTTCCCAAATAGCCTTGACCACATCTGCCTTGTCATGAATCAGTTCACCAATTCCCCAGAAGATTTACTGCAACATCATATGATTTTTTAAAAATCTTATTTTTGATGGAAGACCAACGAGGCAGATCCTGGATACCCTATTCAACCTACAAAGAAGTTATAATTATGTAACCTGTAACTGTTAGACTAGCCAGGTGTAACACAGTCCTCTGTGGGTGAGCACTGCTGTTAACGATACAGGCGTCATATTTAACGTAAATTCATTACTGTTTTAAAATTTAGGACACGAATTAACTATGTGTACATATGGGTTAGCACCTAAGACAGATCACGTCCCCCAAAACTGTCCCAGGTAAAACATATCAAGGCAAAACTTTTAGCCATTAGAAACATCAGTGCAACCAAACTTTACAGGTAGCTGGGCGAATTACAACAGATAGTGAAGTTCATGCCAGAAACAGACGGTGAAGTTCACTCTAGAAACAACAGACGGTGAAGTTCACCCTAGAAACAATAGCAGTGAAGTTAACTCTAAGGGTTTCTTAGCAAAAGAGAAATTGGCAAGAGGAGGAAAATGGCTGTTTACCGCTCTACCTATGTACCAGTCCTGACTTATGGGTGTGAGTCATGGGCAATGACAACAGCTCACAGAAGCCAGCTGCAGGCCTCGGAAATGAGATACCTGAGAAAGGTGGTCCAAGTGACAAGAAGGGACAAAGTCTGCAATCAGACAATACGTCAAGATCTTGATACCCAGCCCTTACTAACCCGAGTAGATCAGTCACAGTTACGATGGTTTGGACATGTATGCAGAATGGGAGAAAATCGGCCACCATGGGAGGCTAAGAACCAGACCTCCGGGACGACCCAGGGTGCGCTGGGAAGACAACATCTGACAGAGGACTGGAATGGAACAAAGCTAGAAAGAAAACTGCTGATAGAGACGTCTGGCGATCTCTCTGGCAAACCTCTACACCCCAAGGTAGAAGAGAAGCCACTAAGTAAGTAAGTATCAACAGACGGTGAAGTTCACTCTAGAAACAATAGCAGTGAAGTTCACTCTAGAATCAACAGATGGTAAAATTCATTCTAGAAACAACAGACGGTGAAGTTCACTCTAGAAACAGACGGTGTTCATTCTAGAAACAACAGACGGTCAAGTTCACTCTAGAATCAACACCACTGGCGTGGGCGATCATGCCTCTCCACAATCTGCAACTGCTTGTATCAGTTTGTGTGTTGACACATCTCCATGCCATGACACAAGACTGTCAAGAATCTTTGTCTCTCTCTGTGCAGTGGTCACACGTTTCATTTTCCCTTTTTCGTAACGTGGCCCGAAAAAACCGATGATTGTCTTTCTGATGTTTGTGATTAGTTGTCTTCAAGCATTCGCCCCTTTCAAAACATCTGGGTTGCACTTCTCAGCTGTCCAAGAAATTCTAAAGATTCTTCTCTAAAACTCTAAAAGATATTGTTCGACTTGTTTATAAATTGTCCAGGATTCACAGACATGTTAAAACTGGCTGTATAAAGCATGCAAGAATTCTTTTCCTCAAAAGACAGATTATTGCACAAATCGTTGATTTAGTAAAAAGCAGTTTGGGTCAGTCCTATTCTGCTCTTTGTCTCCTGTGACACATCTTCCATCAGATGTTATCCATGTGCCTAGATACAGATAATCTATTTCAAGCGAAAGAAAGTATAAGATTATTGTTTTGTACGTTGTAAATGCATTACCATATGCTTGATCTGGATAAGAGGAATTTCTGAAAAGAAGAACTAAGTGGCATCTAGAGTCCACAGACGCTCCCCACTGCATCATTATCCAGAGTGCCAGCTATGTAACTAACTAACCCTACGAAACTGTTGAACACCATCTCTTTGAGTGCCCAAAACTCAGTGAGACAAGAAGAACGCTACTCCCTCCGAGACCAGACAAGTGGAACACCTTGTACGGAGGAAAAGAACAGCTTGTGAAAACATGCAAATTCCACTACATGGCATTGGGCCAAAGCTCATGCGCCGCTGGATCGATAACAACAGCATCATTATCTCCATGAATGGTTTTCAATATCTTCCTTTTTACTTGGTATCCCATTTAACAGGCAAGACATCAGCTCTGCCTTGTGCAGTTTTAGCACACCCTTAAGTGGGGCCTGCCAAGCGTACTCATTCCCAAACACCCATACACGGTACTGGCAAATATCTACCCCACTCTTCCACCTGCGAAGTATTGCCTGTCTGAATTCCCAATTATCATACATTACTGTATTTTGGTTGGCGCCTGCGGCATAGGCGTTGCGAACGTGCTTCACAATGCCCTACGCCTTGCGTTGGTTTTGACAGTGGTATCGAGAAGAGTCCCAGCCAGAAAGCAATGGCAAACTACTGGACGTAAATTTGCCTAGAAAAACCACAACAGCCAACATTAGCTGGGGTTATTCTGCAACATTCTAGGATACACAACTAACTTTTAACTGTGGTTTGGGAATAGATGTCTTAGAATACTAAATATCCACTGGACAGATTTCAGATTTAATATGCAAATACGACAAGAGACAAAGTAAGATAATGTATCCAATGTTATAAGTGAGTGCAGCTGGAACTACAGTGGCCCTGCACTCAGAATGGATAAGACCAGACCAAACCAATCAAGCCCTCTGTGGACACCAGAAGAGAAGAAGAAAAAGGGGAAGACTAAGAGAGACCTCGCGAAGAACCATCACCAGGGCCTGATGAGCACCCAGGACGTAAGACAGGTGGCAACAAACCGCCAGACATGCAGAGCTATAACCTCCGCCCTATGCGCCACTCTCGGCTCAAGAGGAAAGACTAGCTGTATTTACTCTTCTAGTTCACATTCATTACACATTATACAACAATTCTATTTCACACACATCTTTATTCCAGTTTACATTCATTATTACATTTTATAACACTTGTATACACATCATCATCATCAAGTTCCTTGTCAACTGGCATGGGCGACCATCTTACTACCCTAGCAACCAAGTAATTAATGGCTGTCACATTTCGCATGAATCATAGAAGGCTATCAGGAAACTTTTTCTGTCTTCGATTTCTTCCTATAAACCTTTCCAGTTGTCACCACAGGTTCCAGTATTCCGCATACAGTTTATATTTCTTCCACTAAACATAAACATATTATTACAATCTGAAATACTTCTACTTTACATAAACTTTACATTTTGTATTTCTTCTCCCAATTCACATACACAAAATATAATTTACACTTATTTTACATATTCTATACATTGCTTTTTCCTTTTTTCCGTTGCTCAATTGTATCTTTTCAATTCATCCTTGATATAGTCAATCAACAATTTAAACACTTGTTCCTAACTTGTAAATTAACAACTAAGACTATAGGCTGATTCCCAAGTCATATGTGAAGAAAAAAGAAGATATCTGAAAAAGTTGCTCTCACCTACAAAATCCTCGCCTAATTCATGTTTGAACCAAGAAAATATCTTCAAATTCTTTCACAATTATTAGCTAAAAAAAAAAAAAAAAAATAAGACAACCTATGAGAAAAAAACCCAGCTTAATTAACCCATATGCTTTGAGCAACAAAATAAGGATCATATACAGAGGGAATTCCCAATTCATATTTCAGAGACCAAAAAAAATCTACAAATTCTTTCCCAATTCATATGTTTAGAGCAAAAAATTCAACTTTAAAAAAAAAAAACGTTTAGTCCACAGGATTTGTTTTAGTTTTTTTTTCTTCTTCTGAGCTCCACTTTCAATCTTGGGTGAAATTTAAATTAACAATTCTTATCAATTTATAACTTCCATGTGAAATGTCCCCTCGGTATCCCTTTGCTATGTTAAATGTTCCTTTAGTTAGTAACACATTTAATTTCTATGTACAATATATCCTTTTCGTACCATTTGTGTGTTTATGCAGATGTTCCACTCAGTATCCTTTATGTTTACGTAAAACGTTCCTTTAGTACTATCAATAGTTATGTGCCCCTTAGCATCATCTATATTTCTATGTATAATTTCTCTTTGTCCAATTTTTGTTGTCAACAAATGCGTGTGCCATTCCCAGTTTTTCCAGAGCCTCTGCATGTGTTTTGTCATCATAAAAAAAACTACATTCTGTACATCTATTTCCTCAGTGTCTTAACTTTCTAATTATGTTTATTATCCAGACTTGTGCACTAAACAGAGTTAAATCTAACAAGAACGCCCTGATCTTTTTATGTGAGAAAGTTCTTTTACGCATTCTCTCATAGTAAGTATTTCTGTGTGATGGCCAAACATTTTTTTTAATCAGGGAGGAAAAAGCATCTCTTAAAAAGGAACAATCCCTTCATTTTTAAAAAATGACACAAATAAATTAATTGTTAATTCAGACAAAACATAGATGGCGTGAGAACATCAAACAGATTTAAGTATTAAAATGTGCAAGGGAAATAATTTTAAAAGTCGATGAGTTTCTCAAATTACAAGTCGGAGATACAACACACGGTGCAGCTGTCAACACATCCAAATCATTTCTGCACCAACACAAGAAGCTCGCACACATAAAAGAACCATTTATCACAATGCAGTTTCTCTCATCTGTCTGTCTGAACAAGGAGACCTTACTTAAAAAGAGACTAAGCCTAGCTGGCAAAGTGAGATAAAATCTGGCTGCTATGTGTCGCTCTTCCACAATTTGATGGTTTTGTCGTTTTCTAGTGCTGCAGACGCAATGATGTTCTCCGTGGGATGGCAGGCACAACTCAGAACCACATCTATGGATACACACAAAATCATAAGAATGTATAAATGGATAAAATCAAGTAATTATAACAGGCGATTTCCAGTGCGGGTTCTAGAGCCCCATTGTGGGCAAAATATGAATAAGCTAACTTCCCAACAAGCATGTTGTGGGAGTTGACTAATGAGTTTCATCTGCCTGAGAGGTAAGGGACAACCAACTGCACACAGAAAAGCCTGTAAAATGGACGTACAAGCAAAACTCAGGCCCTGGCACAAAGTGAAAATCCTAATAGACAAACAAACAGGACTACTTGCATATTGGACGTCTTTATTTGTTGAAAGGATTCAATGCATTCTCATGGTCCCCCGTGTGGGTTCCGGGGCCCCATTGTGGGGGAAAACAAGAACAGACCCACTGCCTCCCCAAAAGCATGTCGTAAGAGTCGACTAATTGGGGAGCTTCCTTTGAAGTCGGAGTGCATCTGTCGGAGAGGCAAGGAACCAACAGTCTTGTATTCAAGAGAATGTGATCTGTAAAACTGATGCACATGCAACACTCAGGTTCTGGAGCAGGACTGCAGTTCAGTTGTGGACGAGCAACCAGAACCGCCCGCCAGAGTTTACAGCTGGTGAACGCGAAGAAGAAGGACTTTCTTCCACACCTTGTAGCCGGCGAGAATAAGAAGAAGAAAACAAGCAATGTCTACATAGAAAAAATAAGCAGCATCTAAACTATATAAAAACAACACAATAAGCAATGTCTAAATGGATTTTTTTATTTAAATAGGCAATCATAATGGGCAGTTTGAATAAGTTTAAAAAATTTAATTCAATTAAGTAAAAAAGTAAAGTAAAGATCCCTTTTCACGCCTTTCGGCGCATCGGGCATATGGGCAGAGCATCCCATATTTTTACAGACCATCAGCACTCTATGGGTAATGTGGTCAGCATTACGCCGGCTGTCTTTACTTTCCCAGGACAGCCTATCCTGGTACCCATTTTAGGCTGGGTCGACCTGCGACGCCCCATACCACGACAAAAATCCACGCAGTCTGCAGTGGGTTTCGATCGCGGTATGCTGGCTCACGAGTAGGACCAGCACCGCCTTAGCCACGGACGCCGCATAATTAAATTAAGATAAAATATTTAAGTTATGGACAAACAGACTCAGATAAGTAAACAGGTAATGTCAAAATCAACCAAATAATGAAGTAACAGTTAAAAAAGAAAAGTTTTCCACGACAAATTTCTCTAAAACAGTAACTGGTGAATCCACCACATGATAAATAAACTTGTGCCAAACAACGCAACATATGTTGTCTCAGTCACCAAACAGATGTTATCCTGCAATAACTGACCTGTATGACCTGCGAGTTTCTGAACGACTTCTTTGGTCTGGAGATTCCAGATGTACACCATGTTATCTTCAGATCCGGATACTATCCACTGTTGAGTAAAGGAAATTACAATATTCATTACTATATAATGTACTTCCCCCAGCACAAGACATTTTTTTCAAATCAAATAGTACCTAAAAAAATATGAATGTTTTCAACAACAGAAAGTAAAGATCCTTTTTAACCCCCTAAGGTGCATCGGGCATATGGGAAGAGCACCAATATTTTTACAGACCATTCGGCACTAGGTGGGTAATGTCAGCATTACGCTGGCCGCCTTTACCATCCCAGGACATACATCCTGGTCCCATTTAAGGCTGTTCCGACCTGCAACGCCCCATATTACGATAAAAATTCATGCAGCCAGCAATGGGTTTCGATCGTATGTTGGAATTACGAGTCAGACTCACAATGCCTAAGCCATGAACGCCACTTTATACAATAGTAGCATTTACAAAATGATTTGTTATAAATGATCCTGCATTGGGCCTCATTTGGAAATGCTGGTTCAGGGATGACATAAAATAAAAAATATATTAAATTAAAAAGTTCTTTCCTGTTGTATAAGATTCTGCATTAGGCTTCGGGTTCTTTGTTTTGCACCCGTTCCATTAGGACCTCCTGTGCCCACTAACATTGTTCTTCTTCAGCGATCTCTGGTCATGTCTTTTCAAGGTCTCTTAGGTTTTCCCAAAGCTTAGTTGTCAGTTCTACTGGGTGTTGCCATATGTCGCTCCGCAGCTCCGTCAGGAGAGGACAGTCTTGCAGGACATGTTCTGGAGTCTGTTCATACCTAATTTATGTGAGTGTTTATTAACTAACTTTCAACCACCCGATGTCAGTGTTAACACAAATTCTTCATAGCTGCAATGAGAGACGAATGAACCAATGGATAAAGGGGGACAATTTGACAATAGCAGATAGTTTGCAGAAACTACAGCAGAAGTTTGTAGATGGGATTATGGGAGGTGAAGGATGAGATCTTTGTCCAAGTCATTCCAAAGTGTGGCATTTCAAATGCCAAAGATGGAACTGACCATATGGCAATATTTGACACTGGTGATAAAATTTTCTGGATTCTATGATGAAATTAAAAAAAAAACGTTGAGTTTAGTAACTCCATGTAATTCTTTTACCACCTACCCCCCACACAAATCAAAGTGTCTTATACATGGGATCATCTTACACAAATTTATAAAAGGCTGCTGTAATATATAATATTCACTACAAGTATAGAACATATGTGAGCTAAATTACACTGTGATACACACGTGAACTATAGAACATTACAATTCAGGGTGTCCCATAGGTTTCCACACACAGGGAAAAAAAATTACTTTTTGCGGAAACCAATTTTATTTATACAATATGCTCCACATGACTACCATTATTTTGACAACAATTTTTACACTGTTAAATTGAGAATAACACACAAAAATAACATACAATACGAGAAGATCATTCAAATATATGTTGGATTATGAACCCTTTCGTTCTGAGAAGCCTAATCTGAAAACTGCTGTGGTAACACATTTACAGTCAACGCGACGTATCAGCACTTCTGTGGCGGCCTGTCCATAAATAGTGCAGTTAAATGCCACTGGTTGTCAGCATTCAGGAGGCCCAGATATGAATAAGATGCTTCCTGTCAACCAAATAGATTTGTTAAAGCCTTTTCCTGTAGCCTTGGCGATAAGAGGTCACAGACTGAGACATCCAATATGTATATCTTTAGAATGCCCGGAATTATTCTATTCAATGTATCATTATATGTAAAGTTATTGATTTTTTTTAAAGATTCCGGAATTCCCATGGGTTCATAGACCATTTCTGTTAGCGTTCCTGGTACAAAAGGGTTAACTGCAAACCAGTGAATGTAAAATATACTAATAAACATACTGGGAAAAATGTCCAATAACCAGTGGTTAGTCTGCTTGCTCCATACCCTTGAAGCCATAGATTATTTTTGAAAGCAAGTGTAAATTCTACTGTTTTAGAAATCCCTGGGAATTGTTGCTAGAGTTTGTGACTTAGGGTTTAACTTCTGCATACGGCTAATCATTTTATGGGAAACTGAGCCTCGGGATAAAAACAATGTCTGCGCGGGCAGAAATACATTTTGCCCCCAAAAAAAGATAATCATGTGCACTCTCAAAGAAGAGACTTACCTTTCCTCCGGTAACTGAGAAATTGGCAAAAATGCAGTATTTTTCGTTTCTGTGGCCGAGGTACGTCTTGAGACACTGAGTTATGTGAAAAAGAACATCAAATACCATGTACTGAAATCATTCTAACTAAGTTATTTCACTTTTAACAGCATCACACATCAATTTTGTGTTAGTGGAGCCCACAAGCTTCTGGAAACATCTTAAGGACATTCAGAAGGTTGTTTTCAAACTAGTCTCGATCAACGTCAACAGATGCAACCATGCAGGTGAAGCAGAAATATAAATATTAAAGTCTTGTACCGGTGACCACATCACCCATCTTATTTAAGAAAACCATCAGTCATATGCATTAAAATGTTCAAGTGTGCACATATATATCTGCTATATACTCTACTTTACATAGTTTATCTTTCAAGTGTGCACATATGTCTGCTATAAACTCTACTTTACATGGTTTTTCTTTCAAGTGTGCACATATACGTCTGCTATATACTCTACTTTACATGGTTTATCTTACAAGTGTGCACATATGTCTGCTATATACTCTATATTACATGGTTTATCTTTCAAGTGTGCACATGTCTGCATTTTTTTTTTTAATCGATCACCGGCTGTGAATTCCAGTGGAAGGCCCCGGTTAATCGTCTGCTTGGACTTTTGGCTTTCACCTGGACCTGATTTTTGCGTGTACAACCGTTTTTCATTTCCCTGCCTCATGGGCAGCTGTACTCCGACTTCGAAGGAAGACGTCAGGCCTATTTCTAGGTTGACTGTGGCCATTGTTTTGTGTGAGTCGTGACGTTGCCTGATTTGTGTGGTGTCCACTTTGTCCCCTTTGCCGCAGGTATTGCCCTCGGAGTACCCCTTTGGGGCAGCCCCCTGTGGAACAGTTAGCCCTCAAGGGAAGGCAGGGGCAGATCATGGACATTCCCCGCCATCCAAGGAGGCTTCCATGCACGCAGAGCCGGCACATGGCGCTCTGGTTCTGGGCTCACCCAAGGAATCGTCACGTCCTGCACATGCCTGCTTAACCTCACAACCGTATCAGGCCTCCCGCTCAACAGGGGCTGCGCCCTCTGGAAGTCAGCGGGGAGCAGCCCGTGGGTTTTGGACTTTTGTGACCACACAGATAGGTACATTCTTTTTTCCTCGAACGTTAGATTTCTTTGACGAGCCGTTAGCCCGACAGAATTTTACATCCTGCATCAGGCATATCGTTATCAGTTTTGTCCCAACACTCGGGCGAGTGGGGTCTTTGGGTGTGGACATTCGGTCTTTTTCAGTTCAATACAGATTTTGATGGTCAGATTTTGATCCGTATGCTCTAGTTTTGTCGGACAATTAGGCTTGGCCATCCGATGGTTGGTTGCTGTTGTGGTGTACCTCAGCGCGGTGACGACGACACTGGGGGTTAACCGAGGATGTACAAGGATGGCCAGCCTATGGATGGTTGCTGTTGTGGTGTACCTCAGCGCGGTGACGGCGACACTAAGGGTTAACAGAGGATGTGCAGTGAACAATGTTCTCTTTACTCCGCAGTCTTTTAACCAAGGGTTGTAATTTTGGCTGTACGTTTGGCAGACCTACTCATATTCCTAATGAGTTTTGGTAACATTTTTCACCCAAGCGTTTGGGGGCGGGCTGATGAGAGCCACAAGGACACATCACCTCTGGGGCCGCCTAACTCCGAGATCCCCTGACAGCTCTGTTAATGCATTATCCGTGGCGCACGACGAGGACGTGCTGTAGGGGTCTTGCGTGATGTTCCGTACAACCAGGATAGTAAAGGACTGGCGTACGGAGTATCTCCTTATACACATCAAGTTGGACTTAACTTCCCCTCACGCCTGTGACATAAATCACTGCGCCACTATATGTCTGCTATAAACTCTACTTTACATGGTTTATCTTTCAAGTGTGCACATATGTCTGCTATATACTCTATTTTACATGGTTTATCTTTCAAATGTGTTATTTTACCAGCTTCTTTTCTTGTATTCTGTTTCTCGTTTGTTGGGGTATTATACATGCTTTACTTATATTCCTTTTTTTTTAAACTGATGGAAACAGGTAAAAACATTTACCAGTACCTGTGAGCCTTTTGCAGTGTCTGTACCTGTATCGTTCATACAGTTCTCTTGTGGCAATCCATTTGATCTTACTTGTGTAAATACTCCTTCATATTGGGGGTTAAAGAGAAAACAGACTTACTGTCCCCTAACTAACATGTCATAAATATTTAATAATTAGGGGTGTGTCCATCAAAGCTGCTGTCCACCTGCAATGAACTAACAGTCTGCACACAAATAAGCCAGTTCCGTTAAACAGATGTGCACATGATTAATGGAAGTTCAGAAGTGGACACATAACCAAAACTATCTGTCAGTTTACAGCCTGTGAAAGCTCAGTAAAAGACTTAAATAGAAAAATTTTCTGCAAAAGGCTTTTGTTTTGAAAATATGTTTTTTAAAAAAAAAAAAAAGATCACAGATGTAACGGATACACGACAAATTATAAATACTTACCTTTCCTTTAGAATAATCCCAAAGTTTAAGAGTGCTGGACAAGGAAAAGAAAAAGACATATATACTATTATTCACACACAAATCACACAGGGAAAACAAATGATTACAGTTGATTCACCTCAAGAAAATTATCCTCCTTTTCTCTCTTCTGAGGACACAACTGTGCTGTCCATGTTTGCAGCATTGCTGCGCTACTTGTGCTTTCTGATGGGCAAATTATACTTTAGGTATCTATTGCCTGAGTTAGTTTTCCCTGTTTGTTTTATAGGACATGAGACATTCTGTGTTATCTTTGTTCTTTAATCCCTAGGTGGTAGTCCCCCAGCAGGCTTGTCTAGTCATGTTGGTCAGCCCTCAAGAGGGAGCAGCTCCCCCCGCCCCCATCATCCAAGGAGGGAATTGACATCACTGCACCCAAGACTGTCTATCTTCCTCAGCACCCCACAGAGTTTTGTACTGATGGTGCCAGTTACAATCTGATTACAAATTCGCTTGTTTTTCCTGTAGAAAAGTAGAAAGTCCCCCTAAACTCTGAGCTGAATCACTCACCAGATATCGCTACTCCGTTCTGCTGCACTGTTTACTTGATCCCGGAGATGCTTCAGCATGTCTGCTTTACCAAAAATTAGCATATTTCTCGGAAGACAGCAGCGGCCAATCTATCAGTGTGCTCATTAGCGGGTACACCTGAACATACTGGTCACAAAATTCACGAACGTGTTACGCGACGCAAGCCACTCTGTGGCCATTGTGACCCAATTATAGTGACATGTAAAGAAAAAAAAAAAATGCATTCGTTGTGTGGTCCTAAAATGATCTTCTGCTAAAATACCCCCCTCCCCCCCACACTAAATTCTTTCAATGCGATATGTCTGAGCAAATATAACTATACCCAACCATATTACACACGATTTACAGTCTCAAACAGTACCCGAAGCTAAAACAGAGCCACAAAGATCTGGCAATGCCACACACCCAAAAAACGGGCAGGCAGGTTTCTTCTGCTGACCTGTGCTATTTTAATCTAGACAAAAACAGGTACCATGTAGTACGATGACAAGGTGGCGGTGCCTGTAGTGATGCCAGGGTCCACAAGGGAAGCAAAGAAGGCTCACGCTGCAATGTACTATACACGTTGTAAGAAGAGGATAACATGTCACCTGTCATCAGAGTTCATAATGTCATAACTAAAAATGTGTAAAATCACATCACGGCCCACCAAGCGCAGTATCTTCCATGAAATTATTCGTACCTGAAACATACCCCTGGCACATAGTCCAAGCCTTTCATTGTCCCCGTGTGGGTTCCAGGGCCCTATTATGGAGAAAACATGAACAGATCCGATGCCTATCCACAAGCATGTCGTAAGGGTCGATTAATTGGTAGCTTTCTTCAAGGCTGAGTTGCATGTGTCTGAGAGGCCAGGAACCAAAAGTCTGCATACAAATGACTCAAATCAGTCTGTAAAACAGATGTGCATGCAACTGAGGTTCTGAAAACAGGACTGGTCCTGAAGTGGACGAATAAACAGAACTTTCGCCCGGGGATTACGGTTAAATAAGTTAAATTAAACTTAACATGTCTGACCAGATATGATCAACTTACTTGTCAAGGGTAGCTGCGAGAATATATTTGCCATTTGGAGAAAACTTGACAAAGGAAACTGGTGGATTGTCATCATCTGAGAAAGATATCAAATGCATGCTTGTAAACGATTGTGAAACATACGGCTTTTAGCTACTTTCTCACCCGTGTTACCACAGACCATAACTTAAAGCACACAATTATAATTATCTACTATGCATGTCATAATGCCTGCCCAACATCTGTTGAATTCAGATCCTCTATTTAAAACTAACCAAAATCACAATATATTATTTATATATTTCCAGACAAGTTAGCCTATATGGTTTTGAAACCTGCAGCACAACTAATCTTTGCATCCATTGCATGAAGGAAAAGCAGCAAAATTGTTTTAAATCACCATTGATCACAGGCATTATCATGAATTAACAGACAAAAGGATGAGGTATAGAGAGAAGCAAAAGATACAGATGCAAAAAAACTACATATAAGTCAGTTAAAGGCTGTAGACAACAAGGCAAACATCTACAGCATAAGATGTGTCGAGCAGGAGACGGAGCCCACATGGTCATGCTATGGTGATTCACATTCTGAATTCATTAAATCAGATCACGAGGCAGAACAAGAATATGAGGCAAGCCTAGTTTTGAGTAAATACATTAACATCCTGGCCTATGCAACACTGTGCAGGTGCAAAAAATACCAATAACACCAAACTAAGGGCCTCAGCAACAGGTCACTGCCAATGCATATATGGGGGTGTAAGGTTGAAGGAATAGCCGGGTTCAGGGTTTTCTGGGGTCGGAGGGAATTTTATCTGTCTTCACCAATATAAGAAGCCCACAAACAAACAGGTCAAACAACTTACCAATTAAAGTTTTCAAGCACTGTCCTGAAGCTGTGTCCCATATTCGACTGTAAATAAAGAAATATGCATGGTAAAATAGAAAAAAAATGTGTTTTAACAACATGTGTTAGCAACTAAACTATTATTACATAACCTTCTTCTTCGGCAATCTCTAATTATGCACACAATCAACTGTGTTGTCAGGTCTACTGGGTGTGGCCATATGTTTATTCGCAGCTCTGCTAAGAAAGGACAGTCTTTTAAAACATGTTCTGGCGTCTGTTGAGCTCAAGACAACACTGTCAGAGAGCTGTTTGACTCATATCTAATTTACATGATTGCTTGTTGAGTCTGCAGTGTCCAGGGGGTAAGCAATATTACATAAGAAACAGCCTGACTACCGTTAGCATTACTGGGCATTTGGTGCCAGAACTATGCTGTCATAAATCACTCGGGACACAGTGGGTTCAGTGTCACTCTTGCCATTTTTACTTTAAAACACTTGATATTGTAGGCTGCACTGGCCTAAGAGCCTATAATTGGGGATTTGTGAGTGAGCATAGTGGCTTATGCACGCGGCTAATTATTTTTTCACAAAATTGTGAAGCCATTGTCTTCTTCGCGTTCAGCTGTACTGAGGCCGAAAATTGCATGTGTATCAATTTTACAAATCTGTTGGTTCCTTGCCTCTCAGGCAGATGCACTCTTCCACCAAAGGAAGCTCCCAATTAGTTGACTCTTACGACATGGGTCTATTCTTGTTTTCCCTATAAAAGAACTTCGGAACCTATAAAAGGATGAAGCCATTATGAAAGCTAAGTGACTAACTTTTCTCTCTTTCATTTCCATATGGATAAAATTAGGATGACGAAATGTGGTTTGGGGAATTACTTTCAGAGGTAACCCCTAAATTGACATAAAAATAAGGAGGCAGGTCTTCGATGACCGCAGGCCAAGACAGTAAGCCCTGATAGAAAATAGGACATGACAGTGTAAAGACTAGTAAGTTCCATGGCTCCGTATAATGGTAACATTTTGAGAATTAGGCGAGGAGAGGGTGAATGATGTTGAACTAAAAAAAAAAAAGAAAGAGATATATAATTAGAATTACACAGACTGAGGGATTCTGTTTTGAATGAGGCAGCAAATGTGTTGGTTGGCAAGTGTGTCCAAGGAGATATTACTGAATGGAGCAGCAAATGTTGATTTGACAGCGGTTTGTTTGTGACAAAGGGGGAGGTGTGGTGATGGTGCATGAAAGACAGGCTGTATGTACCTATGCAGTGAACCAGTTTATTTCCCATTTGCATGTGAAAGTGAGTAACGAAACTTCATGTTTTAAGTTAGCGCATGTGGTAAAGATTACTTGTGAGCATTCCCAGACACTGTTAAAGACTGGAGAAGGGCTGTCTTAGTCAAGGTTTCAGCTTCATTGGAATCAGATTTTCCCGTACTTGCTTCGTTCCTGTGCCAGTGAAAATTAAATGAAATATTTCCCACTGTCCCGTTTGAAAAACTGACACCATCAAGAAATATGCCATTGCAGTAAATGCAAATGGCAGAAGCTAGAGATGCCAAAGCCAACAGTCACCATTAGAAATGCAGTTTGATGGAGTCAGGCACGATAAGAAGGCCATACACACATAGAATTATTACATAAGATATTTCACCAGCTCACATGTAAACCGGCCATATTGAATACCATCGCTGCACAAATGAAAGGCATTCCACATGAAGACACAGCTCTAAACTCTGTAGCTTAGGCAACAGAAACGGTAAATTACCACCCACATGAGGAAAATTCATTAGCTGATTCACCACCCCTCCAGAAGTCAATGAGCGCAAAGGTAAAGCAACAAAGGTTAGGGGCAGACACACAGAGACAAGTCATATATCTTACCATAGACCATCGTAGCTACTTGACACAATCAGTGAGCCATCTCTGTTAAAATGCACCTGTTCGGGATGGACAGTACGAATGTTAATTTTGCACAAAAAGAACTTTCAAATTTCTTAAAAAGTTAAAGAATTAGCATCACTAAATAAAAGTGTCACACTTCTAAACAAAGATATTTGAATCCCAAGTACAGCATCAATTTTTTAATTTGTATCACTTAATACATGCTACACCTGTAGAATGCCAAGGGTGTTTTACAGTAAGAGAAGTGCCTAGAGCACCAGTTACCCCACCACCACCCAACCAACATGAACCTATGACCTTCAAGACATAAAGGAAAAAAAATTACTTTAACATGAAATTATTCCACCCCCCCCCCCCATTTCAGGGCCAAATTTTGGGAAAACAGGAATTATAATTAAGGGTTTGTAAAATGTGTGAAGTTGAAAGCCTGGGTGTACACAAAAACCTAATATGCTAACCTCCCTATTACGTGTGAATGCAGAAGCAGAAGATGGAAATAAAGAAAGAAGTAGATCCACATTTCCAGAACTGAATGCAACAAAGCAACTCACCGCTGTGACTGGGTCCGAATGAGCCGGTAATGTCTTCAAACACTTGCCTGTCTTGACATCCCATATCCGTACACTTTCATCAAACTGGAATGAAAGAAAAGAAAAAGTGAAAAACATCAAGACAAATTTCTCTTTCTTGTATCAGCTGTTGTGAACTGGACAGATTTTATGATAAGAGATGGAGAACGAACAAGGGAAAGATAACTTTAAAAAAAAAGGTTTATGGCCGCCTTTGAGCATGGCATGGAAAAGTATCCGCACATAAGTGGAGAACAGAATTACTGATGTTAGTTCTGTTATTAAAATACTATTATTAAAAGACTACTCATCGGAGGGAAAGAGAGACAGAGAGAGAGAAAGACAAGAGAGAGAGAGAGAAAGCCTTGGCACAAGCTTCTTTATTTTTTAAATGCAACAGATCTATCTGTCCACCTCAGTGTAAATTCATAGTTTGGGAATCAATCTGTGGTGACCAGGTGGAGCCACAAACTCCAAACCTGTCCAACAGCAAGAATCTCATTTTCACCATTTCCTTTTGCATCAAACATTTTCTCCCAAGTGGCTTAATGACAGAAAGTAATTTTATGCCAATCAATGGTAATTTTTAAATTCACAATCATTCTGACCAATTCACTGTAAAATGTAGCTATGTTAATCGGAAATAGTCCCATGAATGACAAAGAAAATTGATCACACAATGTACTTACAGAGCCTGAAACTATGAGATTAGACTGTGGGTTGAAATTGCAGCAGAAGACATAGTTACTGTGTCCTTTCAAAGTCTTCAAGCACTTGCCCTGCAACATGATAAAACATTTTTGAAACATATTTAATTTAAGCAACAATGGGACAACTATTTCTATCTTCATTAAGACTACAGACTAGACAGTGACAGCGTATGCAAACCTAACAAGAAATAATTAACAAAAAAAGAAAGAATAAACAAATCATCTTTTGTGTTCACAGGCTGTAAAAACCAGCAGAAATTTATATTCGTTCGTTCACTTCTGGACTTATCTCGTTCCACTACTTTAATTTTGCGTACATTTATTTCACAATTCTGCTAATTTGTATGCAGGCTGCTGTTTGCTTACCTATTATTAGGCAGGTGCACACTGAATTTGAAGGGAAAATCTTTTAATTAGTCGCCCTTTTTGACATGCTAGATAGGTAAGCCGCGGGCCCCTTCCCCCAAAGGAGCCTGCAGCATTACTTTTCCCCCATTATTCTCGATGCGGATTCCAACCTGTGACCGTAGAAGTTAGACAAATAGCCGTCATTAAACTGGCACCTTCTTGACCCTATGCTTTAATTTAAATTAGCTACCATCTGACCATATAAAGTCACCTGACATCCCCAGCCATGCTGCATCAATAGGCACAATTAAACATTTTCCAAGCAGTCCCGAAGAGAAGTGGACAGAGTCAGATGGGCGGTGAGATTTTGAATCTGCGTGTCTGAAAGAAAAAAATATATGGAAAAAACTGTATGTGAAAGACTTACCGTGGCAAAATCCCAAATTTTCAATGTCTTGTCATCTGAAGCACTGACCAGTAATTTGCTGTCGGTTGACCAAGCTACGTCGCTCAAACCCTATTTCAAAAAGGATAAGATTATCTTTATTAGTTGGATAAACAGCATGAAACTGTGGCTAGCAAATATCAGCCTTTCATAGATTTCTTTACCTTTCAAGCCCTAAATAACATTTTAGGAATACTATCAATAACATTTTAGGAATACTATCAATAACATATTAGGAATACTATCAATAACATTTTAGGAATAATATAAATTACATTTTAGGAATACTATCAAACAACATTTGAGTGTTGGAAAATGATAGCAGGAATTACATATAATCTAGAGACACATAAGAATTAACATCAGGAAAATCCCGTAAAAATTATGGCAGAAGAAAAACAAAGATCACAAATTCAGTGATGAGGAAAACAAACAAAAAACACTAGCTAAGGTTATAAAAGGAAGACGGAGATGGCTCCGAAATGTTTACAAAATGCCACACAATTCTTTGGCATGGACATATTGCCAGTGACAGATAGAAAAGGGATGACGTGGACATGGACAACCTAAAGAAACCTGGAGAAGGTCAGTAAAAAGTGGGGGGGGGGGGGGGGGGGTGGGGGGAAGAATCTGGTATACCACAGACAGAAAAGCAGCAACAGAATGTATTCTGTATCAACCAATTAGAATGCTAGGCTTTCATGAGGAGACCCAGGTTTGAATCCTTTGTAAGGTTACAATTTATTTTGCCAGAGGTATTGAAAAAAAGCTAACTTGAATAGCCAGTGGCAACTGTGCTAGCCATAGGTCTTAAATACTCAGGCTAAAAGGAGCACCCACAATCCAAATACAAGCAGTTAAGCAGTCGTGTACAAACAACATGAAAAGGATGTTGATATATAGATATTATTAAATATCTACTAAAATGCTGTTTGGACAGGACAGACAGACAGACAACACCATATAAGGGACTTTCAGCATACCATGGATGTGCCAATTGGAGACGTGAGACAGGAAAACCATGCAGGAGACACTAGTTGTATCAACCAGAACAGAATGGGAGTTGTTAGCCTGAAAACACCTGGAGACACTCAGGAGGAGATTGGAGCACTTATGGTGATGTCCGATGAAGATGATCTCTAGTATGAACTAAAATGCTGGTCAGATTCACCCAGACATGGGAACACATCTTCAGTTTAAATCAGGGAGGTAATTACACACAAATCTGTGAAAAACACAGGCATTGACATCAAAGGTGCAAAAAGTTACTGTAGTGTTTTTTATCTTCTTCTTCGCGCGCATGCACATTCATTTTACAGATCCAATGTATTTGTGTGCAGACTATTGGTTCCTTGCCTCTCATGCTGATGCACTCGAACTTTGAAGAAAACCCCCAATTACTCGGCTCTTACAACATGCTTGTGGGGAGAGCCAGTGGGTCTATTCTTGTTTTCCCCACAATGGGAAAGGAACCCACACAGAGGGGTTTTTATCTTCAAATAAAAAAAAAAAAAATTTTGCCTAATAAAATATACCAACATGTGTCTATAGTTAACAGCAGTAAACACAGGAAACATTTGTTTAATAGAAAAGGCAAGTCATTTCTACTGTATAAAACAAAATATTTTGACAGGTCTATTTTACAGTGGATTAAAAAATAAATGTGTTAATTCCATAAAACATACCAATTTATGGCCAGAGATAGTTTTTTCAAACTTTCCGTCATATGCTCCCCAAATTTTAATCAGTTTGTCTGCAGCTGGGAAAAAAAAGCAACAACCAAGAAAACATTAAAAACAACTTAATTTATTTATATGAGAATCGCCGAAGCGTTAACAAAAAAAATCAACAACCCCCTCCTTTGTAAGCAGACAGAATTTATCGTAAATTCGAAGTTACCCTGGTAAGTCACATGGCTGCGGCGAGCTTAAAACACATACAATGTATCGAAGAAACTATTTGCATTTTAGTTGGATTCATTCAGTTTGTGCTTTATTTTATGTTGATGTAACACACCTGACGAGATACAGCGAAATATGCCTGGAAATAATTTGTGCAATTTAATATTTGTGTCCGCATTATTTAAACTTACTTGATTGTTAAATATAAAGATTAAAAATTGACACAACTACCCACAGAAGAAAGATCTGTCAAAGACCTACTACATGTGTTAGGAGAAAATATATGACATAAAATGTAGAGTTTAATGTTGCAATTATAAATAAACATTGAGAGCGATAAGAGCCATCATAGCACCAGAACATATGGGAAGGAAATCATAAATTAAAACTAGTGCCAAACTCAGATCTTTCAACTCCATCAAATCAGTAACCCTACAAGAGGCTAAAAATTAAATGGCAGCTAAAATAATTGCTAATAAAGTTCACATCTTCTTCCACCTTTGCCAGACATTCAACATACACAATGACCAGTGACAATATGCCTGGCCAGAGCACAAAAGTGTTATGCTTGTCACCCCATTTAGAGAAGGCGGCGGCAGAATATGAGCATTCCCTGTCCTCCTCTAATGCAGAGCCAGTACAACATCCTCAGAACAATTATTGACCACAGGCCTGGCATACAACATCTACAATGACTATATGCCAGGCACACAACATCCACAATGACCACTGTCTGTAGGCCTGCCATACAACATCCACAATGACCACTGACTGTAGGTCTGCCATACACAACATCCACAAAGACCACTGCCATTCAATATCCAGACCATATGCCTGGCATACAATATCCACAGTCCATATGCCTGGCACACAATATCCACAGTTACCCTATGCCTGACACACAATATCCACAGTTACCCTATGCCTGACATACAATATCCACAATGACCCTATGCATGACACACAATATCCACAGTTACCCTATGCCTGACATACAATATCCACAGTTACCCTATGCCTGACATACAATATCCACACTGACCATATGCCTGACATACAATATCCACAGTGACCCTATGCCTGGCATACAATATCCACAGTGACCATATGCCTGACATACAATATCCACAGTTACCCTATGCCTGATATACAATATCCACAGTCCATATGCCTGACATACAATATCCACAATGACCCTATGCCTGGTATACAATATCCACAGTGACCCTATGCCTGGCATACAATATCCACAATGACCATATGCCTGACATACAATATCCATAGTGACCATGTGCCTGACATACAATATACACAGTGACCCTATGCCTGACATACAATATCCACACTGACCCTATGCCTGGCATACAATGTCCACTGAACATATGCATGGCATACAATGTCCACTGAACATATGCATGCCATACAATATCCACTGAACATATGCCTGACATACAATATCCAGTGACCCTATGCCTGACATACAATATCCACACTGACCCTATGCCTGACATACAATATCCAGTGACCCTATGCCTGACATACAATATCCACACTGACCCTATGCCTGGCATACAATATCAACAATGACCATATGCCTGGCATACAATATTCACAGTGACCCTATGCCTGGCATACAATATCCACACTGACCATATGCCTGACATACAATATCCACTGAACATATGTCTGACATACAATATCCACTGAACATATGCCAGGCATACAACATCCACAATGAACATATGCCAGGCATACAACATCCACAGAATAACTGCTGACCATCATCTGACACACAACATTCAAAGACCTATGACCTCATGCCAGATGTGCAATACACAAATGCACAGCATGACTACTGACCATGTGACCTTGAAGATACACCACAAAGACACCTTCCCCCCCCCCCCCCCAAGGACTCTGGAACCACACTGGGTGACACTTGGCAAAATATTAAAAACTCAAGCTACAAGACAATTCCAGACACAACTACACGATCCTGATATAGAGAAATGCTAAACAATACTTACAGGAACTCGCTAACCACTCTCCGCTGGGACTAAACTTCACAGAAGACAGTGCTTTCGTGTGGCCAGCAAGGGTGAACTTTAATGAATAGTTTGGTTTCTGAGAGAACAAAAATATAAATAACTGTTACAACCTGCTGTTATAATACAGAATGAATTAAGAATTTACCCTGCTGCATTCTGGACATTCTAAAGTGCACTCGGTCGTAAAAACCAACAAAGAGTTCCCTGCTAACAGTGCCAGGTAGGCATATGTTAATCTATCAGCCTAGCAAATCCTCCAGAGCCTCTGCTCACCCCAGCTAAATCTCTTCCAGGGTATGGATACTCTTTTCTCTGTTACACTGTCTACCTGACCCCAGAAAGCCTTCGCCATTTGTAATTTATCAAAAAAAAGTAGCCCATTTAACCAGAGGAACTGCTGCAGCAGCCAATACATCAGCCTGCTCATTGCCCTGCACCAGAATATAGTGTATACATGAAGAATGTGATAGGTGAATTGATAAATGTTATATACTGGAAAAAAAAGCCTACAGAATTAAACCCCTCCTCTCCACCTTCAGATGTCTTCAGGTCTCAAGCAGTCCAGCGACCATGCCTCCACAATCCTCAGTTATCGGATATTTATTTTGATGTTTGCATAAACTATTGTTTGTTGTCCAGATATTTATGCTTAATTACACATGCCAAGTATGAGATTATTTTCCAGAATTATAGGGTATAAAAAGTGTGTGTCTTAAACAGTGGCAGCAGATCTTTCCTGCTGCTTGGACAGATGCAATGACTTCAAGGGAAGCTCCTAATTTGTTGACTCTTACGACATGATTATTGGAGTGGCAGCGGGTCTGTTCTTGTTTTCCTCACAACTGGGCCCTGGAAAGCACATGCAGAACGTGACACTCAAGTCCTGGAACCAGACTATCTAAAAGTGGATGAATAACCTAGGGAGCATAACACACTCTGTTAAGTCCTCATAATAAAATTCTTTAATATTTATTATTGTCTGAAATTAGGAATAGGGTCAGAGACAAGACTAACCCTAACCCAAAGCCATATCAATGTAATGTGTACGCTTAGGGTCGAATAAACAAACAATAGATTGCGTCCCTATGGGTCGACGTTTAAAATAGTGCCATGGTCAGTATCCAACAAATATGCACTTCTTTGGCTGAAGCTGCTGACACAAGCGGGATGTCAACTGGGATAATAGTGATTATAACATGTAACTGACTAACAGATTGGGATCATAGTAAGCATAAGATGTAACTAACAATACTGTACTACATACAAGGCTCTGAGAATTCGCCTTAGCTGAAGCTCCACCGCTTGGTGCTGTGCTCGGCGACGTTGTAGATGTCACACTAGCAGACGTTCCTGATATCAACGGCTTCACATCTTCTATTTTGGTGGTGTTGGTTTCCTCCGCCATGGTCAGCCTGCAAAGTATGATCATGCTATTACTGCAGATGATGCATTGCTAATTACCTGCGTAAAGATGACTCACTTGCCATTTCTTTTCTACCTTACTGAACTTTTAATGTTTAATTGGGAATTGACATCACAGAATGTGGGACACCCCCATAAATTGTTATAAACTAACAATCTGTTTCGCACATCAAAAAAACTTAAGGACTTCCACGCTTTTAGAAACACCCAGAACTCAGAGACTGGTGAGTAACATACAGAGCAGCAGCCACCTGACAATGTCACTAGAGTGTCTGCTTTAGAGCAGCAGATCCCTCGAGATGTCTGCAGGTCCCTTAAAATATCACTGTTGCCACTAGTTTCTGCAGAAGTGTGGGGCACTGAGTCTGTGGAGCTAAAACTTAAAGACACCGAAGATCCAACAACGGGTAAAGAGTGAACATACGGACCTGGAATGAAATCTAACTCAACTGCTGCATTGATCACCACGGTAGGCGACTGCTGTACCAAATCGACAGCCCATGTCATGTATAAAAAAACATCCAGCTCTAATGGATCTAAACTCATGACCTTCAGATCAGCAGGTGAGCATGCGCACAAGTACAACATCTAGCCATTGCTGGATCAAAATTAATAACAGTAATAATCATATTGGTTGGGAAAAAGTTAAAGCAAAATTCTGATCAAGCAGATTATTGTAAGAACTATATGCTGCACACAGAATAGAGAATAGCCTCTTTAATGTGTGGAATTACTAATGCAATATGAGCTGACACTTAAAGCGACAGCCAGTCTGCGACTGAGCAACCATATTTCCTACATGCATCGAAATATAACTTTTAATTTACTTTACTAGCACATAAGGGAGCTTAGTGCAGTGGCATACATGCTTGTCTGTCATTCTACTAGTCACTTACATGTACCTCTTGGGTGGGATGTTTTCACTGGCAGTCTACCAGGTTACCAGGAATTACTTCGAAAGTAAAGGCTGCAATATTATATTGATTAATCACAATATTCCTTCAGTGGAGTGGTCTAAACTCATATACTATATGGCTAGCAACATCATATTTTATTGATGTATTATTATTATTATTATTATATATGCCTAACAGTGCATACCACATGGCAGGAAAATGGATCCAATGATCCAATTAGGTTCCTTTATTTATTAAAAAGTAGTTACATTTTTACAAAGATAGCCATTCCAAATTCACATTAAACTTTTGCAGGCCACCAATTCTATGCAGATCATCATCAAAATCAATGGTTCTCTTTACAATTACTCCACCGCATGGCTACTGAGTTCATTTCATGTGCTGAGTTATCATTCCTGGTCCATGATAAAATAAAAATCTGTCAAGAATGTTCAGTTGCAGACAGAGACAACCTGAACTGAATAAATAACTTGTTAATTGATGAAGTCATTTGCGAAATGAGTAATTTTATTCCTCGCTTTTATTAGGAACTTATTGACTACTACTATTGAGTAAAAAGTAAATAATAAAAAAAAAATGTATACGTTTCAGTTTCGTATTTTTCATTCAGTAAGAGAAGCGCGCATCGCTGGGCGCCGTTTTAAATAATATATACTTGCAATTTAAACCTCTGAGATTCTGTGAAACACTAAGCATGCCATTACTGGAAGAAATACAAAATAATTGAATTCAGCGGGTACAAGTTTCAACCTAAACCTAAACTTATGGCAGCTGTGACTGTGCTGTGTGACCAACACTCAAGACAATCGAGGCAAAACATAGTTTATAACATACCTACGTTCACGGCTCGGGTATTCCAACTTGTCGTCGAAGAAGGTGTGGATAAAGTGTCACTGGGTGTCTGGAAGATTTAAATTATAAACGATTTCAAGAGAAACTAGCCAACAGTTTGACTAGTTGCCTTCTGAAGGCGCTATGGACTATACTGAGCATTGAGCATGTGGGGAAACAAAGCCAACGCATGCGCATGGACGAGTACGCTGCGGTTCCGTCCACTGATTTTGTGTACGCACGCCATCCGGTTGTCCGTGATTCTCAAGGTCCATAACGTTTGACGTACGTCGTCGTCAGGTCTTTGTCCATTGCCTTCTGACACGTGTAGTGACAATGATTTTTTTTTTTATATAGATGTCCCTCCATGTCATGATGCCAAACTGTCTTAAATATTAACTTTAACGAATCTCTGACACTAACACGATTACGTGGTTTAGAAGTGAAGCATGACTATACTGTCATTGAGGCCGTTATCATCATCATTATGTGTCGATATAACATGATAGCTCATAACAAATCATATGTTTACGGCTCGGGTATCGGACTTTTAATAAAGTTGCAACAGGTACTATAAGCATATCGACACTTCGTCGGCTACTGAAGAAGAAGACTGAGCAAAGTCCCTAGTGCAGCGATGTCAATTCTTGATCCATTCTTTCATTCATTGTGCCGATAAGCGTAGGCTGTCATGTTTCCTTGTCCCTCACGAACACCAGAATTATAGATCAAGTCATTGTTCTTGTCTCGCCCCATCCATGTGACTACGCCATCCATGCATATATTTCTTTACCGTCTCCTTGCCATTTCCCCATCAATTTTGCCAGTAGCAATTAGGTTCTCGTATCAATTCTTTAGAATGAGACCAAGATATGAAACAATATAACTAATTTATCGTGTGAACAGTTCGACCGGCTTGCCTTGGGAAGGTTGCTGCATCGAAGAACTGAATAAGCATGAGAATGCCCCGTATGCAGTCATGTCGACTGCACATAACACATAACAATGGAAGTATGGTGATTTTGAAAATCCCTAACAGTTGATAATTCTGTATTCTGAGAAAAAGCTTCAGGAACTGATTACCATTTAGAGAAGTAGAGAGAGAAAACAGAAAGTGTTCACAAACTGTAATTTTTTTTTTTTTACATTAAATTACGGAGAATATGAAAGTTGGAAGGAAATTAAAGCAGGGGGAAACAATACAGTTTATTATCAACAGTTAGAGTTCTTTGAAATCGCTAGTCCCATAACACGATATACTATTGGGTCACTAACGCAATCTGGCCTGTTCCAACCACACTGAAGACAAAACTGTATGGTACATGAGAGGATATGGATTGCACGATAGCTTTCATAAAGGCTACCGGCCTCCTGATATAAGTTTTTTGACAGAAGGATCGAAGAAGAAGACTAGTTCTTGTTGACTATCTGTTTAACTCCCTCCAGCTCAGTCGGTCAGGTGCAGTGGACTTGATGCTTGCATGTGTGAGACCTGTCAATGCCCCTAAATTTGATTCCATGCCTTTCTTTGTCTGCCTCCCTCCCCAACCCCTATTTTATAGTCCTGTAGTATAGTTTTGGGGAGGCCGGTAAATCTTTTTACGTGTCCAGTCAGGGCCGCGTGCCGTGCTATGATACTAAGAATTGCCCGTATCAGGCGACACCGTAAGGGGACAACATAATCTAAATACAATATGAACATTTGATCTGACAGCGCGAAGCTATTAGAGGCGGAATTTCGAGGATTTCGAGCCAACGGAAGGAAAAAGTGACTGCCTTCACCTCAATTCTCAAACTAGACGTTGTGATATCATATGCGTTATACTTAGAAAATCTACCGCATGGGACTGTATACGCGCCATCGCTTTTTCGGTCTTGTGATTGTTGTTAATAAAGTTTCATACCTGACAATGTGTCGAGGGATAACACGGCACAATTCGTCATGAGTAGATGTGGTCTGTGTATAGTATACCCAGGATTGTCCGAAACTAATCTTATTTCCAGTAGTTGTGTTTTTCTTTCAAGTTCAGACCAACTTTTCACAGCCACCTTTGAAATAACTATATAGAAATAAATTATAATATATTCACCAGGACACGTAAAATAATTGGCAGTTTAAACGTAACCATTAAAACACACACATACAGGTTTTTACGCTCTCTATTCACTCACAAATACATCATCTCCACAAGTTTAGAAAACAACGAATATCTCATACAGAAGCCTATTTTTCTTAAAATGACTCTGACATTAGACTCGCATGGGAGCCAAAATAAGAAAGAAAAAAAAAAATCACAAACCTTTCACGTATCTGTCATGATAAGAGTTTGGGGGAAAGTGGGGGGGATATGGGAGATTGACTGAAATATCATTAAAACCAAATATAAAAATGTTTCAGTCTCAGTTACACTGGTGCAGTAAAGTCCATTTTAGAATACACCTCAAGTTCCTGGTTCTTGGTTCAACATAAAATACAAATGGGACAGTTAGATATCTATTTTCTTCTTTACTTTCTCATTTACCACTCGGGGTCCGCTTTTTGCTCTCATGGCCGCCTTGACCGTAGATACATCGTACTGTTGTAGAGTTTCTTTGATGTTATCTTTCCATCTTGTTCTTGGTCTACATGTGCTCTTCGTCCATTTCTTCTGTTGCTGTATGCCTTGTATGGTACAAGGCATTCTCTCTAAGTGGGCAAAACAATTTGAGTTGCCGTCTTTGTATGTAATTTAGAATTGGCTCTGTGCCGACTTTGTTTCTCACGACATCTTTTCTGATGTATCTCTTCTAATCACTATTGCAGCCCTGCTCAGACATCTTCTTTTTAGCGTTCAACAGTAAACTCCGATGGAAAGTTTAGGTTGTTCTTCCACCTTTGGATTTTTCTCTTATTCCAGAACCTGAGTGTTGTGTGAACATCCGTTTTACATTCCTAGCTTATTTATATTGCAGATGCACTCCAACTACGAAGGGAGTCCCAAAAAAAAAAAAAAAAACCGGATTTTTACGACATGCTCATTGGGAAGACAATGGATCTGTTCTTTTTTTTCGAATAATGGGGCCTTAGAACCCACACGGAGCCCATTTAGTAAATTGGAAATTCCTAGCCATCTCATTTTTATGGATACTAATTTTATTTTCTAGTTTGTTGTTTTTGACCATGTCTGATACTGGCAGCATAGGGTTGGAGTGAATCTTCTTTGTATGAGATATTTCTATGTGCTGATTAGGATTG